ATTCTGAATGAATAATGCCACATCAGTGTGATTCTGTAGGTTGTTTTATTACGACATTAATCAAGTCTAAAGGAATCAATACCACAGCAGTGAGACTGTTTATGTGGTGTACACTGATGCTGACTATACAAATCTGAATGACTTTTGTGGTTTACTGCACAAACATAATTGACTTTAGATATTCTTCTACCTTGAAATTCTTCTGAGATTTGACTAATTTGTTTATTTAGAAAATGGCATTGAAGCATCTGTTTCTGTTTTTGAATGTTCTTGCAAACACCTCTGGTTACTGAACCAATGAAATGTCATAAAATCAATAAATATGATTTTTTATCTTAACAATTTTTTTGTTTTGCTTCTTTAAAGAAATATGATATTGATCATTCATAACATAGGTGCTAACATATATCAAATATACTAATGCCCTGAATGTTTTCCTACAATTAATACAGCTCACTGAACGAAGTTTTTAGTTCCATGTCAGTAGAAAAGTTACATTGCGGGTAGAAATCAGCCAATGAGAGGACAGAAATATATGACGTCATTACTCTGGGTTGGGAGGTCGGGGAGGGGGACCCTGCGGGTAGAATCAGCCAATGGGAGGGCTGCAATATATGACGGGCAGAAATGAGCCAATGGGAGGGCTGCAATTAAAAAACGGGCATAAGTGCACTGTATACTACTGGCGTGTACTTGAATATGGAAAACCTCCGCCCCTAAGCAAGAGGCCCGGGTTCAGCGATACTTGTGCCTGCGTTTGTTTGAATAAATACATCCACACGTGTACCCCAAAATCTCGTTGTCTTGTTCTGTTCAGTTATCCTCCATAGTTCACCGATGAGATGTAAGTTTATTTTGGTTGGTGGACCCCAAGAAGATGAACAAGATGTCGTTCATGAACGATGGAAATAGTGCCATGTTTTGATTCCATTACAAAGTTAATATACTACTCAAAGTTTCTAAGGATCAAGTTTTCATTATATACGAATATCATCCAATAAATAAAGATTTAAATGCTCCGGTACACTGATTTAGAAACCCCTATAGGACTTTATTTCCATGATGAACGGATAGAGGCGTGTTTTTAAGGGTATGATGTGCACAAGGTGTGTGAGGTGAAATGGGGTTGAACGTCGCGTCCAAGCTTTTAAGATTATTGCACATATATAGCGACGTGCATGCACGTACGTGTGTGTGGCTGCTTGTACTGGTCCGGACTGATGACGATTTATGGTGCTAGCCCACTGAGATACCATGACGCAGTTTAGAATACCACACTCAGACAGAGTATACTGACTCCGAGCCGACCAGTCCTTGTTTTAGCCCCTTAATGCCGAGTGCCAGGCAGTGTAACAACAAGTACCATCATTTAACGACCGAATTTGGCAGATGGATATGCATGCTTGAAACTCGGTCAACACAAGATTCACGTTGCAAACGTCGTTGGTGTCAGCCAATGTGTTGGTTGGTTGTTTTAGGCCGCACTCAGCAATATCCCAGCTATATGACTGAGCATCATGAGCATCGATCCACGCAAATTGGAAACGATGACATGCATCAACCAAGTCAGCGAGCCTGACCACCTGACCCCGTTAGTCGCCGCTTAGACAAGCATGGTCGCCTTTTACGGCAAGAATGGATTGCTGAAGACCTATTCTACCGCGGATGTTCACGGTTCTCAGACAATGTGTGATCAGTAGGGCATGGAATCGATGCGAGACCTTTTGATCAGCTTCCCAACGAAACAAATCAGGTGGTGGACAGTGTATCACTGTCCGCACAGAATGGCCAGCCCGGTTACCAGACCTAAACCCTATCGAACACATGTGGTACGAGCTGCAGATCGCCCTCTCACAACGCCACGTCCTTCCGGCAACTCTACAGGAACTCGGCAATGCTTTTACTGAAGAGTGGGACATTTTCCCTTGGCAACCATCCAGAAACAATGTCAGATTCGGTGAAGGGGAGGTCACTCTTGTGTGTGATTAAAATGGGACGTAACATTTGTTTTCTGTTTATGTTTGTTTGTTTGTTGTTTAACGCCGCACTCAGCAACATTCCAGCTATATGACGGCGGTCTGTAAATAGTCGAGTCTGGACCAGACAATCCAGTGATTAACATCATGAGTATCCGATCCCGTTAGTCGCCTCTTACGACAAGCCCAGTCGCCTTTTACGGCAAGCATGGGTTGCTGAAGACATATTCTACACCGGATCTTCGCGGGTGTTGTTTATTTCACATACGCGCTACTGAGAGTTGTTTTCTTGGACAATAAATTTGTTTTCGTGATTTTTTGACGTTTCATGTCGATGCATGTTTTTTTACCATGTACATGGTCATTTTGAATTGACAACGATGTACGACCTCTAGATTAAAGGGTACAAGTCCTTGATCCTATCGCAGTCCTGGCGTCCCCGGATGTATGATACAAGTAATTCAATCACCTTGTTGGTTTGCTCAAATTTTAGTTTGTACATTTCCACCAATCTTACAATTAATAATAACATAATTATGTAGAAACACTGACTTACCTCCATAAACGCATCACAACCATTAATGTTGCCATAACCATAAGAAATTTCTGCCCAAAGCAGTCCATTAACTCGGTTAACTCAGTCAGAATGTCGAAGCTTGAGGTTTAAAAGTTTTAACATGTATCAATATAACATACATCTAAGTATATAAACACATTGGTGTAGTTTTAGCAGAATATACGGTTCACATATAGGTACCCCATTTGTACACCACCTGTGGTGCATAAGTTACCATCTATACTCTTTACGCAATAAATTGTTGAACACGGCAAAAACGATTTTCCATGTCCATAAGAAATCTCTGCTAAAAGCAGTCGATTTTACTATTCCGACTTTATCATGAGCATTTATTTATTAATCACTATGAAATAGTGACACCACTTGTTCGCGAAAAGGTGATCGTATCCTGCTCAACCGTTGGCACCTGTCACAAACTCATGCAAAGTCAATTGTTACCCAGATATCTACTCTTACAAAATGTAGGGTATACCCGAAAATAACTTAAACTTTGGTGGTCAGGCCCGCTGACTTGGTTGATGCATGTCATCGATCCCTACTGTGTGGATCTGGACTGGACTGCAGATGGCCCTCAATGGGTAAATCTAAATATTTTGTTTTTCTATTTTATATGCAAATTCTGGATAGAAACCTCGTGTTCCTTACAGGCTGCATATCGAAAATAAGAAATTGTCCCCGAAAATTCAGGAAAAAAATAATTATGCTTCTGGGTGTTGAAAGAAATATACTCTACAAAAAAAATACGCAAAACGGATATTTTGGGCCATAAAAGCAAAATAGCGGACCAAGAGGTGTAAAATGAAGAGGTTTAATGTGTTATAGTGTCAGTGTTAACTTTCCCGGATCAAAATGATCACAACAAGGACATGCGAACCATTAGGCGGAAAACACGTACGATTCGGAAAAACGCACCCAGTGCATTAACAGAAGGGCCATGGAGCTGCACGCACTGCACTTGCAGCAGCACTATGACCGGAATTAAGTGCAGGGTTTTTGATTGCCTGGCATTTGCGTTAATCGAACAGTGGCAGTTCAACAACATGCCAAGATTAACATAAGTGCAAAGAAGCAACGTCATGGGGAATCCCGATCAGCTGTAGCCAGGGTTTTCAATGTAGCGCCCAGCACCATCACAAGGCAATGGGATCGGTTTCAACAACATTGGTCAACACGTGATCGGCCAAGCTCGGGACGACCATGAGTAACCATCCCCCGCCCAAGATCGCTACATCCGACTGCGCCACCTACGTGAAAGGACGACCACAGCTACCTCAACCGCATCCCTGACTGCGCAGAATCTCTGACCAGATCGTACGAAACCGTTTAAGGGCAGAAGGTCTACGAGCAAGACGTCAAGTTCGACGCGTCACATTGAGTCGACAACATCGTCAACAACGACTGCATTGATGTTGTCAACACAGGGTACTGCCTCAGCTGCCATGGAGAGATGTCTGGTTTAGCGATCAATCAAGATTTCTCCTCCGTCGAGGAGATGGAAGGGCACGGGTCTACACACGTCGGGAGAACGTTACGCCGAAAACAGGAAGTGGACAGGTTTGGTGGGGGTCGCGTTTAGGTCCATGTCCAAGGCAATCTTACAGCTCAACGATACATCAACGAAATTCTCCTACCACCCGTCCACCCAATTGCAGCCAACGGCAACGGTGTATTCCAGCAGGACAACGCTCGACCGCATACAGCACGGATCACAAGAGCCTGTCTACACAACAACACCGTTGATGTTCTCCCCTGGCCCTCCAGATCCCCGGATTTGAACCCGATTGAGCACCTGTGGGATGAAAAGGATAGATGGCTACGCCGACGTCAACTACAACCTCAGACGTTGCAGCAGTTGTTTTTTACGTTGCAGGCTGAGTCGGCTACCATTCCCAGGATTTGATTCGCATACTCGTCTCTTCCATGCGCAGGAGATGTCAGGCCGCTGTCGATTCCAACGGGGGACATACGCGTTATTGGTCGTAGCTGACCTTCGCTTTGGACTTTTCCTATGTACCGATAACGGAGATGACTACAATCACCAAGTGTTCTCTCCACAACATTTTGGCTCAATACCTTGTACGGTTCCTCGTATAAATGTATTGTCCTACCTCACACACATCTGGCTTTGCGTTTCTTTTTTTAGGAGTATAATTGCCTACCACAAAAAAACATTGTAACAAGGTGTTTGTCTTTAAAATAATAAGGCTCATAGATTTAAATAGAAGAATATCAAATGGTCGGTCCCTTAATTCCATTAACCGCTAGATAAGGTATTAATGAGTGATAATGGTTTTACGCCGCTTTCAGCAATATTCCAGCATTATCACGGCGGGTTAATGCAGACAGAAAGAATATTTGACATGGGACTTTCTCAAGGTGCAAACTCGTACTGCACTCGTTCTGCATTCGTAGTTGGTGACAAACGGAATATAATACACAACACAACACACGTATGACGTATTTTATTCCAGTACTTTACAAACACAGTCTGTGTTCTTCACAAAGTGTTGGTCCATCGTGCAGCTCTGAGCACTGCCCCGACTGAACGTGAGCGTGTGTTTATCAGCCCTACATCTCACAGAGGGTTGATGCGGACAATCTTTTTCTGGTCACGTGTCAGTGGCATCCAGTCGAGTTTGCCGAGGCGTGTTCCGTTGGAGGTGTAGGCGCTGACCGTACTGCAGCACAGAACATTGGTCATGTAGAGAACAAAGATAGGCACAATTTGTAAGATTCCATGTACTCATGAATTTAACAATGTTTCAGAAATTGATATAAGAATATTTGAGTAGGTTTCATATGCATTTTTGTTACATTTTATTAGCACATCCCTTGTTATAAGGTGAGGTGAAATAGGCTTTATGTTTGTTGTTTAACGCCGCACCCAGCAATATTCCAGATATGTGACGGCAGTCTGTAAATAATCGAGTCTGGACCAGACAATCCAGTAATGGACATCATGAGCATCGATCCACGCAATTGGGATACGATGACCTGCATCAAACCAAGTCGGCGAGCCTGACCACCCGATCCCATCAGACAAGCATAGTCGCGTTTTAGGGCAAGCATGGGTTGCTGAAGACCTTTTATAAAAAGGGGCTTCAACGTCGCGATCAAGATTTGCACTTATATAGCAACGTGCATGCACTCCGGGCCGACAAGTCCTTGATTTGTCCCCTTTATGTCGAGCAGGGTACCAAAAAGTTTTTTTAACGTGTTTTGGTAAGCTGTGGCCGGAGATTGAATCCCCGACCTTCCACTCGGCGGTCACTTGTTATAAGGATTGAAAACCACTACGATATTATGATGCAATCAATCTCATTAAAATCAGATCTTAGTTCTCGCCACCGCTGAACAAAGATCTGAAGACATCCCATTAGAGGTCACGTCAGACCGACCTTTCATCCGACAAATCAGTGCGTCGCTTACCAGATTATGAAAGTGACAGTCGGAATGTGATTTCTAATCATGCAATCCCGAAATCTTTAACATGGGGTATTCCGAACGATAGTTAAGGGTTTAACGACTGGATCCTTACAATCTAGACCATCGATTAGCCATTCCAGAATGTTTTTTGTTCAGGTTTCAAATTTTTAATCGGAATTTGTCAAAATATGTTTCGAAGCGAAGTCGCCAATTTGAAATTAGTGCCGCAAAGCACGAGAAACCTGCCTTCTGATTGGTCATTCCATTGGTCGGTCAAAGTTCGCGCAAGGTCGGTCTGACGTGACCCGTAATGGGATGTCTTAGATCTTTGTTTAGCGGTAGCGAGAACTAAGGTCTGATTTTAATGAGATTGTGATGCAATGAACTTACTCTACCACCCTGACATCGTATTAAACAACAATGAAAACGCCTCTTATAATGATATGATGCATTCAACTTACTCAAAATATCTGTCGTTGGTCAGGAAGATTCTGCCAGTTCGCGGGTCGTAGACAGTGTCAGTCACTGAGTGGCCCATTCGCCCGGGGAGGATCACCTGCGACTCCCCTGTGTCGAGGGACATCTTGTACAAACCCCGGGGGCCGTCACTGTACAGGGTGAGGGCTTCAAGCAGAACGTTAGGTCTTATATAGTAGACAGTAAGCCATACATACAATCAGTGAATCAATGGTCACCATAGTCACCATGTACGGCAAGCATGGGTTGCTGAAGACCTATTCTCGGATCTTCTTCTCGGGAAGTATGTTTGTTAGTGAGTAAAACTAATAGTAGCAATAGCCTGAACGTGTCAGATTTTACCCAGAGAGTCGAACCCGGTCTCACAGCGTGACAATATTAATTTATCCACTGGGCCGGGTACTTCAGAAACAGGAAACACCCACAAAAAGTGTAGGTTTCCGTTCTCCGGAAACCTTCCGGATACCTTCCCACTTTGGATCCGGCCCGGATACCTTCCGGAAACCTTCCAGATACCTTCAGCACCCTTCAATTTTCTTGGTAATTTTCAGACACATTTTTTATAAGTTTCACACTTAATTGAACAAAATGCACCCCCCAAATTTTGACATTTTTTTGGAAGGTTTCCGTAAGGTATCCGGGCCGGATCCCAAGTGGGAAGGTATTCGGAAGGTTTCTGGAAAGTTATGGTCATTGTGGCACATGAAAGAATCATGATAGTAAGTTAGTGTTGAGATGGTTGTAAAGCATTACTGGAGAAGTCAATGGAGTGGGGGCTTATCTTCTGGTGTATCTTGTGTGGAAGTCTTTGTATCCCACTCCCATCATAGCGCATTCTATACATCCAGGAGCACCAACAGAACTCCATCCAGTACAGGTATCTGGGGGAAACATAGACAACATTGTGTTAGCGTGTTATAACCACTGGCAGATACAAAGTAACTGTCATGAGTCGACCTGAAACACAATCTGAGTGAGATAACATGCTGAAATCTTTCAATTCTTCATATATATGCACACAAACTGACCAGTTTAGGGAGACATATCTATCTCCTTGTTTTGCGTAATTCAAAACATCAACAAAGGTCGAAAGGGCATGTCGTCATTACAACAAATATTCACCATGTTATGTTATACGCAGGGGACACCCACCGCTGTGCAACTGGAGGCGACATCTTGTACCTACAGTTGACGTCGGCTCACAACACCGAGTTTTACCCTGTTCTTTTCCCAGAAGCTCTCACCCTGGCTGACAGTGAGTGTAGAAGGACATTACCTACATGACTGCTTCCACTGTGGCACTCACACTTCAACTCCATATTCATGAAAACACCAAACACTCGGGTCTTGAAAGAAACCAAGATACCACCTGGTTGGACCTGGCTTGTTGGTGGCCGCTGTTTTGCATATAACAGCCAGGATCAAGCCATGGTTAGGTGTGTGTGTGTTGGGGGGGGGGGGGGGGGGGGGGGGGGGGGTTAATAAGTTTAAGGTTGTGCACACACGTGTTTTTGGCTGCTTGTACTAGTCCGGACTGATGCCGATTTATAGTGCTAGCACACTGAGATACCATGCTATACTGTCTCCGAGCCGACCAGTCCTTGTTTTAGCCCCTTAATGCCGAGCGAAATACAGGGTAACAATTAGTACCATCTTTTAACGTCTTTTGGTATGACACGGCCGGGGATCGAACCCCGCTCTACCACAAGACCACGGAGGCAGTCCTCAAGCCATGGTTATTTAGGATACTTCTTAAAATCAAGTGAGTCATGTTTATTACAGTCTGCCGTCGAAGCGTTGTCCAATATATGACTTCAACATTATGGAGTCAAAAGTACATTAAAACAGCCAAACGGACACGCGACATGTGTATGGTCAATGGGTTTCTTGGAGGCCAAATGTATAACACACTCACTATATCACTCGTGGGTAGCAGTTCTTACTATTTTCTTTCGGCGATGTATATTGTATGTGTGTGTCATTTCAATAGGCAAAGGTTTAAGTGTTTTTTTCATGAATCAATATTCTCTCTATTCTATCAAATCAAATGAAATTTCATAACAATTTTTATCTGTCTGCCTTGTTTTGCATATCCTGACATATTCTCTCTAAACTAGATTAAAGTTTCGGTCGTATTTACGTCCAATTCAGTTTCCATAAATTTGTGTGAATTTTATTTTTTCGATTTTAGTGGGCATCAACAAGGTGTTGATGGATGTATAACTCTTTTTATTCTCGTAAAAGGTATGGGAATTTAAAATTTATTTACGTTTAGCTTTTGGATACAAAACAGTGAAGATAAACAATACACATTCAGAATTTTACGTCTATAAGTAAAGACTTTGAAAAGCATTTAGAAGTGATACACACGAGGAAGAGAATTAATTGATGTCAACTTCTTTATTATGAGGAACATTCGTCTGATGAAGGAGTTACACGCATATACTCCGCAACGTTGTGTTCCTCATAATATGTTGACATCCATAACTTCTCTTTCTTATAAGTAAAGAGTTCATTAAATTTAACTGTTTTATATTGCATCAAAGTAATACAATAATCTATGTCAAATTCTATGGTACATATTGAGACAAATTTTAGTCCAGTTATATGTTTCATATTTGTCAATACGTCCTCGATATTAATGAAGGATGATATTTCAATGTTAACGTTATGGGGCTGTCTTTGTTGCCATTTCAAACTGTTGACGTTTGAACTTGTCATTATAATATTAAGCATGCACTTTTTTATTCAATTCGGATATGTTTAAACAATAGTGGATAAATTATAGAGAATTGTTTGCTATTTCTAGGAACTACAACTAGCCATTTCATAACCAGCATTGGTATCTATTATTGTTGAATGAGTGAGTGAGTGAGTTGGGTTTAACGCCGCTTTTAACAGTATTCCAGTTATATCGCAGCGTGTCAGCTTAATGCGGGAGGATAGCCCGAAGTAATGCAGGTCTCAGACGTTTATCACTTCGGTGAAACCCACGAGCACGAACATAATCGGGGCGAACCGGGATTCGAACCCACAATCATAGGTTTCTGGCGTGCCCAAGGGACGCAACTCTGCACAGCGAATCGCGGCGCCTTAGACGACTGGGCCACCCGTGCCCCTATTATTATTGAAAACTGCAGCGATGAGAGAAACACGGCACTACACAAGGTTTCCGTTATCTACCCACCTGTTTTGAAAGTCGACAGCCATGCGCATCGGATCTTTTGCCCTCTGGGCTAAAACTGTCTTCCCACTGCCGTCTATTCCCATAGAAAGGATCTTCTGACGCCCAAATGAGGAGGTGCCAAAAAAGATGACCTTCTCATTCGGCTCAATGGCCAGTTTCTCGGCTGTGGATTATCAGTTTAAATAAATAAGAATATGTTCTTTAGAAATTGTATGGAAGCCTTTTAGGGCCAGTTGTTAATTTATTTTTTTCTTGAAATTTCAAGATGCTATGTAGAAATTGAAAGATAACAAGTAAATATATTTTTTAATTTCAACTCTTATATATTATTCCAATATGTCTTGGAATTGCAACTTATGTTTCTTGGAATTTCAACTTAGTATCTCAAAATTTCAAGATAATAAACACGTATATAATAATTCAACTTAACATCTCAAAGTTTCAACTTATTATCGTGAAATTTCATCTAAGTATGCATCTTGAAATTTCAACTCAGCATCTTGAAATTTCAAGAAAAAAAACAAAACAAAAACAAATGGCCTTTAACGGCTTCCGTAAAATCGTGACCTGTAAGGCTCAAACTAGCTTCCCACCAGAGGCCACGATCTCCGGAAGCCATTGCATACCACCATGCATTACCAGTATGATACATTGGGATTGTGAATACAAGCATACTAAAACCTCAAACAATATATAAGAATGTATTGATTCAATACAAAGCTTTACATGGACATTTGAACATGTGCCGTCTATACAGGCATGTAGTGAGCGTGATTTACCTTTACTAATATAATGGAAGTACTCTGTATTGTCGCCGAAGTGAGATTCGCCAAAGTTTGAGTGCTATAAGCATGCTTGTAATTTGTAACCTGCTCAGTATTAAAAAGTCGCAATTTTACAGAAACTTTCCAATGTACACTAATACTTAGTATATATATTGGGTGGATGTGGGTGGTGTGCATGGTTTTGTAACATTTCAAACATATTTTAATTTGTATTAGGTTTGGCTTACCTGTCAGTACATACAAAAACATATACATCTACTAGACGTCTTTAACGTATCCCTAGTTTCAGTTAATCATAGTGGTGAAACAAAACTACAGAAACACATACGGCGATCGCCTTGGTATCGAATCATTCTTCTGTCGGTACCATTGACAAAGATTGACATGCAGTCCCCTAAATAACTGAGGACGTAAATCCGATCGTCCACGAAGTCGTAGTCCATATCAGAGATGCTGCCAAGGGAGGGTATGTTGAATGTTTCAATGTGGTGATCAGACAGATTCAGGCCAACGTCGACACGGAAGACATTCTTCGACCCTTTGTCCAACACAACCATGCGGGTCCGAGGGGCTGAAGCGAGATATAGGAGTGTAGCGTGGCCGACAGACACTGCGTCTTACGTATCATTGATGTTTAACAACTGTATGTATTTCCTCATCCACCAAGTGTAACTCGACTGATTTATAACATAGGATGGTCAACAGATTAACAAATAAAGGAACGTCAGCGTCAATGTTAAATTTGTATGTATCTATTTTGATTGTTTGTTTGTTGTTTAACGCTGCACTAAGCAATGTTCAAGCTATATGACGACGGCCTGTAAATAATCGAGTCTGGATCAGACAATCCAGTGACTGATATCATAATTGTTTGTTGTTTAACGCTGCACTAAGCAGTGTTCCAGCTATATGACGACGGTCTGTAAATAAATGAGACTGGACCAGACAATTCAGTGACTGATATCATGAGCATTGATATACCTTGAAAAGGTATTTGATACGGTATCAAAACAATCTTTTCAAATGTTTTCCAAAAATACGGATTTGGACCAGAAATGATAAGGTGGATAATATACTAACTTTCGATACTTCATCAAGCATAATACAAAAGGAACATCTATCAGAATGTTTTTACAAATGAAAGAGGCTGTCGACATGGAGATCCATTGTCGCCATATATTTTCCTTGGACGTATGATTAGAAATAATAATGTAATTGAAGGAATTATTGTAAATGCCAAATACTAATAACTTGAGCAGTATGCTGATGATACTGAATTTTGTTTAAATGGTGAAGATGAAAGCGTATATGCAGCTATAGAAACACTTCATACATTCTACAAAATGTTTGGCTTAAAAATTAATGTAGACAAGACAAAAGCAATATAAATTGGCTCAAAAACGGGTAGCAATGATGAAATAGAACATATGAATATATGAATATATGAATATAGAATAGAATGATCGAACAATTTCTGTCATAATGTTTTTAGCATTGTAAAAACTAGTTCACATATTTTAGACACTACCAAACCCTCCTGGGGACTTTGTCTTATCACTGGACAAAATATTTTTTTTTATCTGGAGCAATGAAAAAAAACAAAATCAAAGGGACTACTTTGACTGGAAAATATGAGGAAGGTGGACTACACATGATTAACATAAGGGCCTTTATTGACGCACTAAAACTATCTACGCTCAGACTGTATTGTAAAAAAAAACATATGGTAATCCTAGTAGTATCCCAATTAAAGATTTACTCTCCTTGGGTGCTAATGTTGACAAGCCATCTTTTGTTAAAACCCCTTCTGGAAAGATGTATTGAAAGCTTGGAACAAATTTTGTAAAGCAATTTTCATTAATGTTGATAATATAGAAGAAATTTTGTCCCAACCATTGAGGCTTGATCACAACTTTAAACAAGCAACATTCTACATAAAGCAAGGGGCTAATAATGGAATTTACTCAATTAAAGATATATGCAATGAAAAGGTACAGTATTAGTCTATAGATGTTTCCCTTCCTCATAGATATTTAATGTTCAAAATATCAGACTCATGTAAAACAAGAATCAAGAAAACTAGAAAGATATTTTCACAGAATTTGTATATAAACAGTTGCCCAAGTGATTTGATGAATCCTGTAAAAGGCGCTAGAATATTTTATATTAATTTGATATCAAATGAATATAATCCTATAATTTGTGATAAATGCCAATCAATTTGAGTACAATTGGAAAAATATATTTACCGTTTATAGAAGGATGCAAAACTTTCAGATTTTCAATACAGATTTCTACACAATGAAGGAACAATATTAACAATGAAATCTCGTAGCTTTTGTAGTGCTGTCAATGAGGACATCAGACATATCATTTGGGAATGTGATGAAACTAAACAATTTTGGAATGATCTCGAACTTTGGCTTAATAATTATCTTTCACATAAAATTCATTCACAAAATGTCTTTTCTTTTTGTTCTGACTACTCCAATACTTGAATCAATCATATATTTTTGTTGGGAAAAAAGCATATTCATGTATGTGGAATTAAAGGAATCAAACCGAAAATAGATACACTTTTAAAACTACTTCTTTAAAAAAAGGATTCAATCAAGACATGTATTGCTATAAAAAAAAAAGGATGACGAAAATAACTTTAACAAAAACATGATGACTTTTATTCTCAGCATTTGATTCTTAGCTCTCTTTTGATACATGCTGTGTTTGAGTCTGATTGTGTGTTGCAACCTTTTAGGTTTGAAATATTTGTTTCCAAACCTTTAATTTTTTTTAAAAGTGTATTGTGTCATTCTATGCAATCCGAAATATGTTTTTGACGGAATACTGTTTTACTCTACAACTCTGAGAACAATAAAAATGTTATAAATAAATATATTTAAAAAATGTGTTTCAGACGGATGCATACATGTGCTGTTATCAGTTTGTTAAGAATACATAATGGGAGATTATTAGGATATGATCGAAAGAAAAGTTTACTTTGATGATTATTGTACAAAAACAACACTCAACTAAATGCAATCAGAAATCATCATGGTGTAATGCTATAACACCCATGTTCAATAATGTTTCCTTGTTACAGAGTGTCTGTTTAAAATACGGGTTCAAAGAAAGAACCAAATGCAATAGTGTGCTGTGGTACAGACCTTCCCCCTGACCCTTCACTCCTCCGAGCACCAGGACGGCGACGACCACGAGGACACACGACGTCATTATGTTTGCTGGACGTGGCAACTCCACAATTCCACTCTCACCCGCTCTGATTTATATCGGACCAGCCTCCCACGCCCGTGGACTTAATGGAAATTGAACCTAATCACAAAATGGGCGTCATGTCATATGGTGTTAAAGGGCAAAAATTAGGTTACAGCTTATAGGTCGTATAGATTTATAAACGAGTCCCCTTTATGTACTGATTTATATACTATCGTAAGGGGGGGGGGGGGGGGGGGGGGGGATGCACGGGTGGCCCAGTCGTCTAAGGCGCTGCGATTCGCTGGGCACGCCAGAAACCTATGATTGTGGGTTCGAATCCCGGTTCGCCCCGATTATGTTTCTAGGTTTGTCAGCACCATACCCGTGCTCGTGGGTTTCACCGAAGTGGTGAACGTCTGAGACCTGCATAACTTCGGGCTTTCCTCCCACATTAAGCTGACACGCCGTGATATAACTGGAATAGTGTTAAAAGCGGCGTTAAACCCAACTGGTGTGAGGAAAGCGAATTGTTTGATAGGCATTTGACAAACTTTTATGGATAACAACTTCTTGATTTTTATCCTTATACCGTAAAGTTGTCCATAATTAATCCAAAAAATTGTGTCTACTTTGTAAGGAAGCGAGTTAAAAAGCACCAGTTGTAATTTATGTGTTACTGTCGTGTAACTTTTGCACTTTTTCTAATTCAGAACAACACTGAACTCTATTTCATGTAGACCTGTGAAGATCCGGGATAGAATAGGTTTTCCGCAACCCATGCATGCTTTCCGTAAAAGGCGACTATGCTTGTCCTGAGAGGCGACGAACGGGATAGGGTGGTCAGGCGTGGTTTTTGCATGTCATCGATCCAAATTGCACGGATCGAAGCTCATGATGTCCATCACTGGATTGTCTTGTCCAGACTCGATTATTTACAGACCGACCATCTACGTAGATGATATTTGTTTCAGAAAATATCTTATGTAAGATTCACTTGTAATAAGTAATCGCTGTATATTTCCTAAGTTCTATTTCTATTTCTTGATGTTAAAAACTTGTGATATAAATATGGTTTTGTAGAAGTTTGGCTCCATCAAGGAGTGAGCTATGTTGATTTATCTATTGACCAATTTGTAAAACGCTGTAAAGATATTGATGTTCAGATATGGAATGACAATATTACATCTTCTCCAAAGTTAGAATTTTACAGACATGTTAAAATAGAGTATGGTTAGGAAGATTATATTTTTTGTATTCACAATATGACCTAACTTAAAGCTTTAGCTAAATTTAGATGTTCTAGTCATACTTCAATGATAGAAATAGGTCGACAGTACAATATTAACAGAAATTTAAGATTTTGTCCATTTTGCATAGTTTTAATAGTAGAATCAGAATACCATTTCTGCCTCCAATGTCCATTCTATGCAGGTTTAAGAGACAGCATTTTACCAAAGTATTATTGTGACCATCAAAACCAGCAAAAACTTAAGATGCTGTTCTCAAGCTCGAATCCGCCTGTACTTAACAGTCTAGGGAACATTTTATCAGCACTTAAGAAACGCAATAGTTATTTTAACGTTGTCATTGATTATCCTAAGTAGTATTACTGTCCACTATTGTACATCATAAGGCAAACATTTTAGCATCTGTGAGTGTGTGTATACTTGTATAATGGGCCGGTGGCCTCATTACGGAATAAACAACATCACGTCACATTTCTATGGAAAACAGTTTTAGCCTAATGATACTTTCCTCTGCTGATTACTGTCGGGCGTTGACTTCACTTCAGCCTCCATTATATCCTAACAAGCCACCAGTTCATGACACGATATTTGTGAACAGTGTTTTGTAAAGGTTGGAAAAGGTTGGTAACCTATTTCACAAAAACGTCTTGCGCAACCGACCGGGTGTAGTGTGAAGCGTATGTTCTGTCACGATATATGATGATAAACCTACAGAATTCTTTTTCAAATCATTAGAGGTATTATTTTTATATTTCATTTTTCATTAGAAAGCTCATGCTTCGGCGTTCGTATTAAAATACATGTACATGTATAACAGTGTACCTAAGAATACATAAAACACATCAGGATCAGCCCCTGATCCGGGGTAGAATAGGTCTTCAGCAACCCATGCTTGCCGTAAGAGGTGACTAACGGGATAGGGTGGTCAGGCTCGGTTGATGCATGTCATCGATCCAAATTGCACGGATCGAAGCTCATGATGTCCATCACTGGATTGTCTTGTCCAGACTCGATGATTTACAGACCGACCATCTACGTAGATGATATTTGTTGATGATAAACAGTTTTAGCCTGCTGATACTATCCCCTGCTGATATTACATTGTTGCTATGGTTCACGTGTTGGTAAGCTGTTGTATGGCACCAAATGGTAACTTAGCAGCAGTAGCAATAAATCATGAACATTTTGAGCAATATTTGTAACTACATGTTTTAACCATATCAATAAGAATTTAGAGTTTACATCATGAACATCAACAGCACCTTGAAATTCATTCGTTTTACTACTGAAGATCCATGCTTGCTGTAAAAGGCGACTATGCTTGTCATAAGAGGTGACTAACGGGATCGGGTGGTCAGACTAGCTGACTTGTTTGATGCATGTCATTGTAACCCAATTTCGTGGATTGCTGCTCACTGGATTGTCTGGTCCAGACTCGAATATTTTTCAGACCGACGTCATATAGCTGGAATATTGCTGAGTAGGATGTTAAACAATAAACATACACACACATCAATACAAATTACCGCACACCAATTACAACGGTACTACACAATAGAGTGGTAGTACAATATTCGATGGCAATAAATAATATGATGGCAGTGGTCAATATCAAACACATAAAAAACAAAAACAACAAACCAAGAAACTACTGGGGCGGTCGGGTAGCCTAGTGGTTAAACCGCTCGGATCGCCCAAGGCCCGGGTTCGATTCCCCACATGTCTACAATGTGCGAAGCGCATTTCTGGTGTCCCCCGCCGTAATATTGCTGGAATATTGCCAAAAGCGATGTAAAACCACTCATTCACTCACTCTCCTACCCTAGTGAGTGATATCTGCACTGGAGTTCGTGAGTTTGTATATTTCAGCATCAGCTGACTGACATTGGAGATTGCCAAGGGGACAACTCCTCCCAGTGAGTATATCATGGGTGTCTGACTGGGTAAAGGCCTTCCACAATAAAGTTGGTAATATAAGTAAAAAATATAATATTATATAGTGCATCATCGATCTGTCTTACACCCTTCCATGTGATGTTTCCAATGTTCGTAATTTCATTGATGAAGAATAAATATTGTTCCTACATAATTGAATGCGTATATGGCCATGATAGAGTCTCAACGTTGTCAAAAAGGAGGTCACTAGTGTAAGGGTAGGTAATTCTACCACTGACTGTTCACTCAGTGTGCGATCCGCGGATGCAGCTTTCCATCTCCAAGACTAAGCCTTTATATAGTGACCAAATAACATATGACATGAAGGAGATAAACGCTGAGTATGACTAAACAGCCGCTTTGTAGGCTGAAGAAGAGCCAGCTATATTGACACGAGGTATCTGCATGATTTGACCTGTCAATTTCCAGATTTCACGGATTCAAAGCATGCTTGTAAAAGGAATGAGACAGTTGTGTCCCGGAAATAGTGGTTTGTGTGTTATTTTCATAATTGTGCGTGTTCTGAAATGAATTTCATCAAGTTTGACAAGCTGTGACTTCAGTGATGTCGGGATATTGTTTTCGTGGCCATTCGAGGGGACGATTCTCAAATCCCCTCCTGCCAAATCCTTACGGTGGTGGTTGACGCAAATGGCAATGGATATCAAACACAAAAAGGTTTGTACACAACATGTTGTCATAAATGAAAATTCTTCCAACACATTTTTATAATGTTATATTTTACTTTCATTGTCGGTTGTTTCAATGACGATCAAAATTACCTATTCCGAGTCTTTTGGCTTCCATTATGTCCCTGACAGTTTCATAAACATGTCATTTGTATGCAAAAGATATGCCTTCGTAGAGTCTTGTTATCTCATCACAGAAGCAGTCAGGATTACGGCCTAGAACAATATAGCGTCGCTAAAAACATCCAATATCAAACTACCGTATTTCCTCTATTAGACGCTAGGCCGTTTATTAATTTCGCGAGAGACCAAGCGTGTAATAGAGGAAATATCGATACGTTTTACAGTTCCTTGTGGTGATCAATCGGCAGCCATTGTATAAATAGATATGTAGGCTATCTATGTATTCATGCGCACGTTTTTGGTGTGAAAAGGCTTACTGTATTTAAAAGGGGTTTCCGTAGCAAAAAGGAAACCTCTTTTTAACCAATCAGAATCTAGCATTCTTCAATTTCATGGTAGAATTAAGAATACCTGCTTCGCCGAATCTGATTAAAAACTTCAAAAACTAGTCATAAACACAGGTAAAGGCAATGCAATTGTTTGCCTGAGAAAACCCGTCTACCAATGGTAAGGTCAAAATAGGGAATTGCATCGGACATTTTTTATTTCACTGATGGCAGGAGGATATCTCTGTGAGCATGTCATGTCATGGTGAGCTACAGTGGTTTGGAACGTTTCTTAATATTAATAATCGTTTATTCAATCCATAAATGTTTAAACAAGAATGTGGCATGTAACATGCGCATCTTACTTTTGATTCGGCCCAAAGTGAGTTGTTTAATATTTCCAGGATATATTACTATTGGAAACTGCAACTATGAGAGTTGGAATGAGGTTTTCTATGGCTATTTTATTCCCTTTGAATCAGAGACGTGATTTGAAACACGGCGTCGCGTGAAGGCGATATTAGTGTTTCGAAAGTCGACAGCCATGCGAAACGGATCCCTTGTCCGCTCGGTTAAAACTGTCTTCCCACTGCCGTCTATTCCCATAGAAAGGATCTTGTTACGCCCACCTTGTGCGAAGGTGCCAACAAAAATGATCTTCTCGTTTGACTCTACGGCCAGTGTCTGGGCTGTGGATGATCAATTCACAAAGAAAAAAAACATCTTTAAAGAACAAGTAAAGTGAAACAAATGATTACGATTTTGTTGCGAATATCAATTG